TTTGATTGTCCTATTACTTTCTACTATAAGAGGAGTCATCTTAATTTTAATTAGGTTCTTATGAATAACTCCTCTGGAGTTGATTCTTGATTTATATAATTTAGGTGGGCGGGGGGCAGACACAGTCTCTATGGGGTACTGGGAGTGTTGGGTGGGTAGCAGCTGCAAGGAGACAGCAGAGAGGCGTGTAAGACTGTGACCCTGCATCCTGGACTCAACTCTGGGTTGTCATAATTTAGGTTGTAAAACAAACTCGTCCAGATTTCTAGATAAGAGAGCCGCACCACCCAAAGTGGGATGGATGCTGTCTCTGCTAATCAGACCAGGTTTTCCCCAAAATGTTTTCCAGTTATCTATGAAGCCCACGTTATTTTCTGGGCACCACCTAGACAGCCAGTGACCATTGTGAGTTTTTCTTTGTTTAACAGAAGGGTACCAACAATTTTGTCCATGTCTGTATGTCCTGGTTCCCCAATGGCCATTCCAGCAATGAGTAAATGCAGTGGAGAAGAGCAAAAAGCAACTTTGTCGGGGCCAGATGACAGAAGACTGGATGAGAGCATCTCCAAAAGGCCAAAACCTGTTGAGTGTTCCTGATCACCAGTGGTGAGAAAACAAATGAGCTTGTAGGTAAATCTGAAAGGGGCTACTGTAGTATGATCACCCTCAGAGTCAGGGGAGCCTGCTGTGTACTATGTTAAACTGCAGCAGGATTTATTTGTTTCTTCAAAAGTCTTGCATATTTTATTGGAACTGTTCAGTTCAAAGAAAGCTGGGATTAAACAAGTGTTTTAAGGCTGTTGTAGCGGTGTTGACTTAGACTTTGAGATGTTCACACATATATTATTTTGTTCCTCCACGTGTGTAAAAGTAGATGGATAAAACATTAAAAACATCTTTATTACTGTCTAAGACAATGGCAACACATGCCATAACTTCAAAATAGCGCTTCTCTGACAGTCCAAAAAAAAAAAAAAACAACATTGTATGGTTCAGAAAGTAGGGATTTAATAAAAGGTGACTGGGTTTGATTTACAGATATCAAACTTTTTACTAAAATGTGTAGCAATATACCCAAAATATATTATATACATGTGATATACTGTACAACATTGTGCAGTGGAATTCTAAAAAAAGTCATCAGCTTTATGAAGACTAAAGTGTCTCTTGTATCATGTGCGGACAAGTGAGGCCAGGTACACCCACACAGACAAGACATTATTAGGGAAAGGGTGCACATACACAGCCAGAGCAAACTCTGCATTTGATGCCTGAATGTTGTGAACTCCAGTGCTGTACACTGCCTCTATGATGGGCCGAATCTCGGAGAATGGCAGATTCAGGGGGAATCCTGAAATCTACAAAGAAATAAATGCCTATGAGTGGGAAGTTCTGATCATATTCTTACTGCCTGCTTTTACAGAGCAGAGAATATAATTGAAATGACAGATTGATAACTGATTATGTCATTGAATGATTCAGTTTTTTTTTTTTTTTTGGAGTTACACTCATTCCTGACTTACCCTGTTGTCTCCCAGTAGGTTCTGCAACTCATGGCGGTGCCCTTCTGCTATGTCCTGCCCCCCGCTCAGCTCCAGTTTGGGCAGGAAATGTTTCAGGGTGGTGGTGCAGTAGCGGTTCCAGCGGGTTGGTTGACGAGGGCGCCACTCCATGATCTTCTCCTTGAGGATCTTCTCAATTCTGTGAAGAGTGAGATGTGTTTTGTGTAATGTGTGCAAAATCAGAATGATAGTGTTAGAAATAACTAAGTCATCTGCCATAACTTGCCTGTCCTGAAGCTCTGCTGCAGCTGCTTTGTCTATGTGTCGATATACCAGCTCCTCTGGCTAAAGGTAATTAGATTTAGTAGAAAATAGATGTTACCAGGAGAGATACTACAAGACTACGCAGAGGTGCTGAACATGTACCTGTACACTGGACAACCCAGGGTGGGAGAAAGATCGGGAGAAAAAGGGCTTCCACAGTTTGGCTTTGGTGGTGTCAAAACTCATCCTCATTGGTGAGGTGTATTGTTGAACGTTGAACCACACCTAGATAACAAATCAAAGAACATTAAAATAACGTAAAGCAACCAATTGGAAAGTATTAATGTAACGTCACACTGTGAATTATTTTAATGCTCACTCACATTGTCAGCATTGACCAGGCAACCAACTGTTTGCAGGGGGCAGAAGGTGTCATACTGGCCATAGTACTGACCACTGCTAGGATTCCAGATCACGTAGCGGCTCTGCTCAAAGGTCAGGACATATGCTGTGGGTCCCTACAAAATAAAAAGCTCAGTGGAGGACTCAAAAGCTCTCCATTATTTTATTTTATATATTCATACCTGACTTTTTAATCGTAATAACTAATTAAATAACTCAAATTTTTAAAGCTCTATGTACAGAAAAATGTCCTCATGTTTCACAAACTAATGTTACCTACCTCTGGTATAGCAGTGCCAATTATAAGCCACGCTTTCTTGCCCATAGACAGAAAGTAGTTGCATAAGAGCACAGCATGTTCTTCTTCATCTCCTGCCAGAAGGGTGAGGAATTGCTATAAATAAGAAGAGGAGTCACAAGGGACTATAAGATGGGCATTTCCCTCCTATTACAATATCAATATCTCAGAGAGGGTTCACTTACATCACAAGTGCTCCACAGGTCGCAGGCACCAGAAAACGAAATACTGTCTGGCAGAGAAGGTATGAGCGAGACAAATCGGGCAACCAGGGCCTGTATATGGATAAAGAATGTGACTCCAAAAACATGAGCAACATGGGCAATTTAAGCAGTGTGTCTACATTCAGTTCCATCACACTGACCATGGCTTCCTGAGAGTTACTGGGGAATGCATCCAGTAGCTCCTGTGGGGGGTTGAGGGGTCGAATATAACGCGTGATGAAGACTGTTTTCCCATTGAGATCTATGACGGTGGTAATACAGGGTCGGTCTGGGTGGCTCTGTACTGCATCCCTCTCAAATCTCTCTGAAGCCTGCAGTAAATGTTCAGGTTCCTGGGTGTCAAACTACATAAGAAGGTCCAAACATAGCTGCAGATTAATATGGGTCAGAACCATGTAAATTAATTAAAATGCATTAAGAATGATGCAGCCATGAATGGGTTAATTATGTAAATTAAAAAGGATGTGTTCTAGTGAACTGTTACCTTTACTTCCTTTATCTAGTACATGCAGCAGAGCAAAAGCAAATAAATGACAGAAAAAGTTGGCAAACATAAGAAAAAATGTATACATTGATGCATAACCTATCTGGTTCAATTTAAATGAAATTAACTGGATGTGAATTTATTAGGGATGGGACAATATATTGAAATTCAATATATCACGATACAAAACATCACAATGTGTAACGTTTTGTCCTGCAATATATCGTGTGGTCTCCATACACCAGCAACCTCATAGTTTTTTGTAAACAAGTCAATATAGCTGGTTATTATCAAACCAGAATAGGTTTGATTATCTAAAGGGAGTAAACAGAGGAATAAAATACAAGTACTCCGCAGTTAATCATTGTTGACATTGAGTTTTTAATTTTATTGCAATTTAATTGAATAGTACACACCATATCATGCACTGAATCTTATTGAGAAGAAGTCATGTCGTCCCATCCTTAGAACTTGTATGTTAAAATATAAAAAAAGAAACCTATTCAAAGATATAGATGAACTGAGGCGAATTAAAACACAGTGAAGCACAATGGAAACTAAAAGCAGGCAATCCATCCTTGAGGTTAGGACCTGGGCGTGACTTACCTTCTCCCTAATAGACTCTCCAGGCACCAGCTGAGGCTCAATAGTGATGAACAGTGTAATAAATGCTCCCTCACTCAGGCTCCGCAAAATATCATAACCACCGTTAGTACCATAGCTTCGCTCCTTACTGTATCCCAGCAGCACTGCTGGTGTATTCACCTTGAATGTGCCATCAATCTGCCAGGTGGGATTAAAAAATAGACTGTCAGTATTCAGTCAGTGTGCATCTCTGTAAATAAGGCCACAACTCTTAATAAGTACACAATGAGGACACCCACCCTGGTTTGAGAATAAATGGTGCTGAAAGGAATCTTGACAGAGCCCAGCCAGTGTCTCTCTACCTGGGTGTGTACTGATTTCCCTCTGTCTTTGTCATTCTGAGGATCAAATGAGATTAAATTATGAAGCAAAGAAAGATGAATGCAATCAAAGGAGCATGTACCTGATATGAGCAGTATGGGAGAAAATGCACAGTATTTTACTCACCACTCCGGTTTCATAAACCACCTCATCAAATATGTTGATGAAGACTTCATCTTTGACAGATTGTAAACTGGCAGTGCTGTAGTCACCATTTGGGGCACTATGGAGAAAGAGAAGAAGAGTTTTACATTTCAGCTGCTTTGTGTTACCTGAGTTACTGTAAGTGCATTTAACTGTTTGGAGAGAGTCATATGTTTTGAAGGCATACAAGTAGATAAGTTGATTTGGAACTGGTCACAACTACTGTTAGCAGCAGGTGGCTTTAACACACTGAAAGCAATTTTGAAATAGCCTGGAGAGACTATGAATTTGTCCCTGAACCATTTCCAGTATTCCTCAGTGTGCCTACACTTACCCAATCTTGTCTCCAAATCACATTTATGATGTAGTTAATCATAGCTGGAATATTACACAAGTCAACTTAACATGCCATATTTCTGATTAAAGCTGTCTCAGGTAAGTATAAACACATTACAAGCTACTGAATGTACTGATGCTGTGAAACAGCTGTTTTACCTAAATGGCAGCTGCAGCTCCTCATTCCAACAGGGGTTTGGTCCATCAGCAGTTGTCGTTTGAAGTACTGTGCGCTGGAAGGAAACCTCCACAAATGGCCTCACCTGTACCTATAGCACATCACACAAAAGCAGACACGTGGATCAGCACCAATGGAGATCTTGCTGCTGATCAGCTCTAAAGTAACCTGAGGTGTATTGTACCTGGCTGAGGAGCCAGTCACTGCCCTGGATGACACCCTGAGATGACTGCCCTGGTTTACTGAAATACAAACAGAGGCTGATGTTCTCGCCATTGACTAAATGTACACAAAATCATGAAAATAGAGATACAATTGTTATAATTATTTCTAAGGGCAAATAGAACTTTTCACTCTATTGTAAACTATTCAGAATTTGCCTGGGTACGCTGAACACTCACTTGCTCTGGGGTCTCCGGATGGGGATGCTGTAGGCCCGGATGATGTTGATGAGCAGTTTGATGTCTCCATCGGATAGATTCTGAGTTGTCACTTTCTTTCTTTCTTTCCTCTGAGGTTTCAGGGGTCGCTTGGGTTCAGCCAGCTTGAAAAGATTTCTTCCCAGAATCCTAATTGTCATAACAATGCCCTTTATTAATTGTTCATTTAAACTGACATCAGACTGAATGCAGGTATTTCCTGGCTGATCACAAAAAATTTTCCTGAAAGTGAGAGACGGGCTCAGTCCCTCCTGGTTTTTAAGATTTTATGACTGCATTACTGTTTACCTCAACCTTTTATTCTGATTTGACCTTTGATATTAAACACTATTAAAAATGGAACCAGTAAGGTGAAAACTGGTTTATAATACGTTGCTTAATATACATCTACTGAAGGGATCAGTTTTGTCCTGTTACAATTTTTATTTAACCTTTGTATAACCAGGGTAAAAATCCCATTAAGGTTGACCACCTTTTTTTAAGGGAGCTCCAAAAAGAGGGCAGCTTTACAAGTTACAGACAAAACGAGAGTAATATGAGTGAAAATGCAGTAAGATGTCTTTCAGTATCATGGTATCCAAAGCAAGATTCATATATCTCACATTAACCAAAACATATTTTATTCTGAATGATCACTGGATTAAAAGATATTAGACACACAAAGATTAACTACTGCAGTTACACAATGATGCTGAAAGAGAATGAAATAAATGTATTTCTAGTATCTAGTACTGGACTTTTTGTGCCGTCAATGCTACTTTATTGATGATAACATTTACTGGGTTCTTGAAGATTTACACTTTTAAAAAAGTCCCAGAAAAGATTGAATACTACAAAAGGTTGAGTCACTACTCTACTGGTACTCTGGGTTCAAACTAAATGGAAGAAGAGAGACACAAGAGTCGGGAAAATGAAAAACTAAGCACATACCCAGCACCTGCACCACTGTTACAATGTAAAGCAGAAGAATAGCAGAAAATGGAACAGAAGAAAATAACTTTCATTTTCAATAATGAAAAAATGTGAAAAGTCACAGCCAACAGCGTGATAGGCCTTGGTGTATATAATTATGTATACATCTACTCAAATACCATCAATGACTAAAATTTATTTCTAACTTTCTATTATGACCACATGTTGTGAGGTCTGCTTGAAAACACTACCTCATCCAGTTCCAGAGAACAGTATTACTCAGCCAGGGGAATGCAGTGTTGAGCTCAAGATCAAATAGACTAATGCAGTATCAGGCCAAGAAGCATACTTAAATAAGGCCCTGTCACTCTGTCTGATTGTTTGATTTGATGGTTAATCCAATATCTCAAGGTATTCCAAGTTATCTAACCTTTCCTTTACAAACTGAGCAGGGAGATCAGGCACTCTTTGAAACTCTTTGCTTTTAAAGGAAATCATGTGGGATATACAAAAATGATGAATTACTGTACAACACAAAGTAGCACTTAGTGTTTGGACCAGTTTCTCGTAACTTGCAAGAGAGAAACATTCCAACTTTGACAGATAAAACGCATCACAGTAACAGAAAAGAATGTGAGCTGTGAAGGACGGGAGTTGAAAGTGAGATGGTGAATGTCTGGGGGTGTGTTTACCCAATGCTTGGTATTTCCTCTTCTATCACCAAGTCCGAGAGGTGGTAATGATGCTTGGCAAGACGAAATCTGTTGATGACTGATTCTCGGATCTGTGGGACCATACCAAAATATACAACATTTAGACGACATTCACAATACATGAGGACGTGGCCCAAATCCAATTTTTTTCCCCTCCAAGTGGCTCAGATCTGACTTTTTTCACAGAAGTTTAAACAAAGCAAATCAGATAGATCCTCCATTCACATCACAGGCTTTAATGCTCAATTTTTGATTGTTGATAGTTCATATTCATGTATCGATGGATGAATCCGGCTCTGGGGTTGATGTCCTAAACTGCTACACATGCACAGATTCTTTAGTTGAACATTTATAGAGTTTCTATTCAAACCGTAACTGAGCAGTTTTTCAGGGAATGACACGATTTGAAATGTGCACAAATTATGTTGGTATTCCATGCATGCTCACATTTCAGTTAAATGTGTGCATGCATGGCAGTTTAGGAGCTCAGCAGTGTCACTTACAAATATGAACATGAACCATCAGCACAAACAGATTGGACTACAAAATCTGAATTAAGCATTAAGGCCTTTAACATGAATGTAGCCTTAGTGCCATCTTGAAACATGTTTATATCAGATGCTCACCTTCTGAAGGTATTTGGCCACTAAAGCTCTGTGGGGATCCAAATGTTCTTTGGTATCAATTATCTCTCCCTCCTTCAGTCTTTTCTCATACTCCTGAAATCATAAGCAAATAAAAAATAAAAGAATTGCACTGATACATCCTCTTTCAACCATATCCATTATATTCTGCAGCACAGATGTACCTGGAACACTTCATCTGTGACCTCCCTCTCCAGAGCAGGAACACATTTGTAATTTCGAAACTCTGCAACTTCCTGGTTCCTGAGCCTGAGCAGCCGTAATCTTTTGGACCTATCCAGCTCTTCATCGGTCACAAAGTCAAACTCCTGCTGCAACTGTTCCAGCCGGAAGTACTCTGGAGCTGTCACCTCTCCGCCACTGGCCACCTGGCAAGCCACAGGGT